GCCTCGAGCCCGGCGCGCCGATGAAGTAGTCCCAAGGTTGCCAGCAGGCCCCCGCCGCCTCAAAGACGAGGTGGATGTTCCGCCGGTCGGCCTGACCATCGCTGGATGTAGTTCTGGACGAACTGGAAAGGGTTCGACAAGGCTGGGAACCGCCGGAGCGATCGGGAACGCCGCGCCGCCGCCGCTGCCGCCTCCGATTCTGCCGAAGAGGGCGGCAAGCGTCGGTGGGGTGCTGACTCGCAAGGAGTTGGCGAGGAAGGACGGTAAGAAGGAGTCGGAGGGGGATTCGAGGGGAAGAAGGGGTTTAGGGTTAGGGTTTGGAGCGGGGAAGGTCGAATCCGTCGATAAGCCGCCGGTGGCTAGAGAGGCAAGGAGCTCGCCGGAGGCGGGAGGGTGAGATGCCTGACGGTGCACGATCGCATTGGTGGCAGAAATAAGCGCTTAGGTGCGCCGCCGGTTGGCGGGGACGCCGCTCCGTGCGGTGGGTCGATGAGGACATTTTTTTTGTTGGGAGAAGAGATTTATTGTTTTGGGGGAGAGAAAATGGGGTACGGATATTAGGGATGAGAAATTTTTTATGAGAGGGAAACAATATAGGGCGTTGGCACGTGAGTTTGCTCGTGCGGAGAGTACGGCAGTTTTGGCCATATTTAATATTAAAGAGGCGAATAATCTATCTTAGCGCTTAGCAGCCTATTTTTGACTACCAGGATCGGTGCAGAAAGTTACCTAAATTTGACATGAGAGGTTTGGATATATATAGTAACATATCAGCAGCTGTATTTGAAATATCTGAATCTCAATATAAATATCGGAACATATGTTGATCATGTAATTACAATTATTTTAATCTTTAAATTTACGGAATTTGAGATTAATTTTGATGGTCAAGAATATAATCTTAGTTTTTCATATATGATGAACATATTAATGATCTTCGACCAAATGAATTATATATTTTTTATCAATATTAGTTAGTTTTTTCTTTGTATCCATACGTATATTCACATGCATATATGTATCCGTATCCAATTTTAACGGATATGAATAAAAAAGTTTAATTAATATTCATAATTGGTAGTCATATATATACTTTCTTTAAAAGCACTTAAAAACTTTCAATGGTCAATATTTACCCTTCACTATTTTGAATATTTTATTTAAATATTAATTTATCTTAATCCTAATTATATCTTATACTAACCCTATATAAACTAGCAACATCTTGTCAATTTAAAAAGAATAAGATTAATAAAATACACGAAACAATATTTTAAAATTTCCATTTAAATCTTAATCTATCTGAATACTAGTTATACATATACTTATCATACGTGAACTACCTATAGCACAACAAATTAAAAAAAATAAAATTAAAAAATCATACGTAGCTAACATATTATAATACATGAAGGATTAAAAAATCCTAAAAGTTTTAAAAATTGCACAAAATTCCCTCAAAAGTTCAAAATTACATAAACACTCTGAATTTTCAAATACGTAAAATAACAAACATAAAATTTAAAAATTAACAGTAGAGCCTGAAGAATTTAAACTTTATAATTAACACCCTCAACATTTCAAAAATTGTAGAAATAACCTCGAAAGTCTAAATTACAAAAAAGCACACATAAATTCTAAAAATTTAGAAGTACAAATCTAATTTGAAAATTATTAGCATAACATTAAAAATTGGAATTTAAAAAAAACATTTCAATAATTGTAAAAACACACTTAAAATTTTAAAGTTGTAAAAAATATCCTAACATTTGAAAACTTACCACCAAAACATAAAACATGGATATTACAAGCACCAAACATAAAATTTAAAAAGTTCAACAAATATTATCAAATTTTCAAAAAATACAAAACACACCTTCAAAAGTTCAAAATCATAAAAAAAACTAAATTTTCTAAATTTGGTAAGGAAAAGAGTAATTGTTTAATATTTTTATTAAGATATATAAATTTAACTTCCAATTTAAAAATTACTATCTCTTTTTAGTATCTTAAAAGTAGTCTAAGGTGATGCTAGTAAAAAATAATAGCAACAATAGATTAGAAATATCCAATTAAGGAATAAAATTTAAAAATATACAATAGATTAAAAATTAACGTCATTGCATAAATTAATGAAACTGTATATAATTTCACTAATAACATTGATTGATAAAAAACTAAATTATATAAAACTGATAAAATACTATAATATAGTAGCTTAGCATTAATTGATTATAATTTATAAACATTAATCTTTGATGTTAATAATATTTATAGGATAAAAAAATACAAGAAGTTATGTTTGGAGAAACTATCAGAAAGTTAAGAAACATCCTTCAAAAGAATCAAGTTGTTTTCATTTCAAATGGAGAAGTGAAGAAAATAAACCAAAAATTCAGAAACATTTATGAATCACTTGAACTGACGTTGACAAAAGGCATATCTATAGAAGAAGCACCAACTGTTTTCCTCTTAAAGAACATAGAATAACTTTCTCTCAATCAAAGAAACATTCTCTATGGAAGATACAAGAAAAATTAGTAAGTATTTATAAATTTCCATACTTTATTCTTTAAATACTAAAGGAATCATAAACTTAACATAAAATTACATACAGATAATCTTGTAATAAAAACTAAAGTAAAGTCATTGATCAACTATGTTGCAAGATATAACAAACTAGATAAGATGAGGGAAATAACTATAATAGACCAAAGATATGCACATGATACTTATTTACGATAGCATAAATAAAAATTTTAAAATTGTTCCGACTATGTGTGCAACTTTATTTGGGGATATGACCAACGAAGGATTAATTTTTGAAGACACGATAAAAAATAAGTATGTAATTGCACTATCAGATTTTAAGGTCTTTAAATATGAAGGGAGCATATTTCATTACTAAAATTATTATTAAAGGCCACTAAATATAAAATTCACTCTATATCAGACTCAAATTTATAGAGGAAATATGCATGTCAGCATAAATTGCGTTAATAATATATACCAACCCAAAGATATAACTTACTAAAGATATAAGAGAATGGTAAGTAAACCAGATAAACATCACTATAACACAATTAAGAAAAATATTATATTTTAAAGCTAATGTGGAGGGCTCATTCAAAACAAACTACAAAGATAGAAGCATCTCTATCAAGGCTTTTTCAAATACAACACAAATTTAAATTACTGATAAATGCAATTATCACAATATTCGAAGAGGTATGATCTTCTAAGACATACTCTAAAATTCATAGAATCAAACCTAAAATAGTTTACTAATATACAGATATGTTATTACACCTATATAATACAAAGATAACTACCATTTACAATAAAGTTCAACCATGATTCTATGCTTACAAAGGCTACAACAAGAAGGTGGATAGAGATGTTAATAAGAGTGTCCACATGATAAATGTCACAGAATACCGATAAGTATCCTTTCATACTCAACATCTTTCCTTTTTTCCTCTCTGACCCTAG